TTATTATTTTTGTGATATTTTATTTGTCTTATTATTTTATTTGTCTTATTATTTTTGTCTTTTTATTTTATTTTTCTTATTATTTGTCAAGGTGTGTAATATTTTATTTGTCTTATTATTTTTGTCTCATTCGCAATTTAATTACAAAATACTCCCTTCGTTCCCCTAAGATGTTTTCATTTTGACATTTTTTAGTTTTTAAGAAAATTTGAGAAAAGGTGAAAGTTTACTAAAATACCCTTAATGATAATGGGTGAAGTATATTAAATGAGGTAGGTAAGGTATAATAAATAAAGTAAGTGGGTGTAGTTGTGGTATTTTTAAATATTAAAGGGGTTAATGAGAAGATCTATAGGAGACAAATAAAAAGGGCTAATGAAAAGTTCTGTGGGGGACAAAGGGAGTATGTAATTATTTGTTTTATACTTTTGCCTTGAATTAATTTTCAAAAATTGCCCACGATAGAAGTAAAACATAGGGGAAAAAAATTGATTTCCAATGAAATAAAAAAGAATAAAAGGATAGTTAGTAATATATTTTTTGATTATTTGACCTATAACTCAACATCTTTATTACGGACAATTATAATAAATTAATTTTTAACATTTAACAAATCAATAAATTATTATGTGTTAGTGTAATGGACGAAGTGGAAAGAACTCTCGCTGGACCAAAAAGTTCAGAAGTATTAAATTTACAAGTGACTCAATGCTCCCTCCGTCTTTGGAATGACCCGACATATATTGATGCAAAAGTAGAACCGTGTCGTTATGATGGGCATATCCCAACAAATTTCACAGACCCGAGAGTTATGACTAACCTACATAGAGTTGGCTTCTATGGAGTGCACTGAGGTCATCCCGTTAAATTAGATCATGGATTCATCACTGCTTTGATGGAGCGTTAGAGGCTCGAGGTACATGTATTTCATTTCTCATTTAGAGAAATAGGTATAATGGCCCGAGGTAAACGCGTTTTTGGCATTTCCTGCTGCTATTGAAGAGTTACAATTCTGTTTTCCCTGGTTACTCTAGATGGTACCCATTTGTATGGAAAGTACAAAGGTGATTTACTCTTGGCGGTAGCAATGAATGAAGATCGCGAGATTTTTCCTATTTCGTATGCGCTGGTTGATGGGGAAGCATGTGATGAAAGCTTGGCGTGGTTTTTCAGGTCGCTCGTTCAAAGGGTTATCCATTCAACGCCCATAGGGATCTTCTTGAACTTCACATAGGGAGAATAATGAAGTGCTTTTGTCTACGTCCGATCTGTAACAACTTCATGACAAAATTCCGTAACTCGGATCTCAAATGTCTGGTCTGGTCAGCTGGGAGCACACCTAATACCCAAGAGTTTCACAAATATATGGGAGAAATACAGAACACCAGTGAAGAGACATATCTCTACTTGAATGATATTCCACATAAAGCGTGGGCTCTGTCTTATGATGGTGGTTTGAGATGTGGGATCTCGACCACCAATGGTTCAGAAAGTTTTAACAATATGCTTAAAGGCTGTCGGATGTTACCGGTCACTGCCATTTCGTGTATGTCCTATAGCAAAATGGTTGAATCTTTTGCAAAATGGTACAAGAGTGCTCTTGATTGGCTACAAAAAAATTTCATATCACTTCAAAAATTATGAACATCTTACGAAGTCATGAGGGAACGAAACAGAAGTGGGCCGTTGGAAACTTCGGCAACAACCAAATGTTGATAGCCATACTTCTCGAACAGATCCATCATCTATCTACAACTACATGGTGGATCTAGGGAATAGAGTTAGCAATTCTGGCCGATGGTCTTTCGATACAGTCCCATGTGCATGTTCATGTTCTTGCTATTTTTCACTCAAAGCGTCAAGTTGCTGACAATCTCATCCCACCTGTATACTCCGTTCAGTTATTTATGGTGTTATAGTGGATTGATCCAACCAGTTATTTTCAATCCACTTTAGATATTGGTGACTTTCGTATCGAACTGCCAATAAAGCCGGAGGAAGAGATTCTACGTTCTGGAAGATGTATGCGTAACCGATACATTGGCGAGATGGAACAGAGAGTGACTAGAGCATAATTGTATACATCTAGCACAATAAATGTAACTTTCTTGGTCTTTTTTGTTAGATGTATCATGTTCAATAAAATATTTCTTTCATACTCCCTCTGTCCTAAAGCTATCTTCCTAGTTACTATTCACACGGTCAAACTTAAATCACTTTCTTTACCTATTTTTTACTATTTATTTGATAAAATAATATAGTCTTGTCACCTCTCGTTCGGTAGAATTTTAATGTAGTTTTTAAATATGTAAATTTTATTTTTTAATTTTACACCTACAATCAAATAAATTGAATTGAAAATAAAGTCGGTCATACCTCGTAAACACAAACGGGAAGATGGTTTTAGGACGGATGGAGTAATTTTTTTGTTTATCAAAATTTTTAATTTTTTAAATATATTTTATGTTCTTCATATTGCACAAATTTTACCATACATCCAGTTGTACCGTATTTCCGGTACAACCGGCAATTAGATCGAAGGAAAGAACAAGGCGGAGACCGGCAATCGATCTAAGGAGAGACAAAAGCGGGAGACAGGGAGCATGGCATCCGGCGATTTAAGAGGAAGAAGAGGAGGCTGCGATGGCAGGTGAAGGTGGTGGCTGCGGCAACTCTGCAAGATGGGATGCGATGATGCAAAGATAGATGAATAGTAGCGGATGTTCTGTGCTATGCGAGGCTATGCGATGAAGATGATGAGTACAGTAAATTAGATTGGAGTATTTGGATTATTTAGACTATTCGATTATATTTTATGGGGTACTTTATTTGGGAATGAGCACCACGTTATTTGAGAATGAGAACTACTTTTATTTAGAATGAACACCATATTATTTATAAACTAATACTATAATTATATAAAACATGTGAAAATGAGTACTACATTTTTCCAAAATGAGTACTATCTTATTTCAGAATTAGTACTACATATTTCAAAATTAACACTTATGTTTATACAAGAATGAGTAATACTTTTATTCAGAATGAGTGCTACCCGATTGTACCTATCTTTAGGTACAACCGGTTGTACCATACACATGCTCTTCATATTGTTGTAGATTTTAAATGTTTCAATTAACGAAGTATTTAAAAGTACGTGAGGTGTGAAAACAAAAAAATTGGTTGCCAACCCATCCGAGCATGCCAAATACAGAGTAATTGATTTATAGGAAGCATTCATCTAACATTGAAGAAAACCCCCCAAATAGGAGTAAAACATATGTTATATCCTTAAAGTAGGAGTTCAAACTTAAACTCCTCTAAATAGGAGTAATTAAATAGGAAAAAAATCTGCTAATTCCCACGCGCATGACTCAATCGAGAAAGGGGAAAAAATCTGCCGATTCCCTTCATCCCTTCCGCTGATCCCCCTTTTGCCGATTCCCTTCCTCGATTCATAACAATTGCCGGCTCATGCAGCACCATCGCCGCCACCACCGCCTACAACATCTCAGTTCGTAGTGCACCCCGCACACAGATCTGCCATGTCGCCCTATCTCCCTTTCTCAAATCACAAATTTCAGAAATGTTTGGGTTCTTATTGATATTTAATTGAATTTTTATTTATCTTGAGCTTTGTTTGGAGGCTTTCGGATGGCAATTCAATGTCGGAAAATGAGGGCCAACCATTGTAAATGATGGTTGGTCATCCGGCTACCATAACGATAGTCGTGAGATGGGTGATGGTCACCGGTTGTATTATTGCAGGTCAGTGGTTGAGTTTGACATTATTCATTTGTTTGACGTTTTGAATTAGCAACAGTGACAGTATATTTGGTAATCTGTGGCATCGTGCACTACCATATGTGACATTATATGGTAATCTGTGGCATTATGCATTATCATATGTGACATTATATGTGGCCATGTTTGGGATTATACCTTCGTTGCTGTTAATGTGGCACTGCGACGGAGGTGTAGATGTTGGTGAAAAATAAAGGGCAACAATGTTGAATTTTTGTCGGGGTGACACATCATCCTGGTGTGGGCGGAGTAAACCAGCGGCAGATATTCAAGTGACAGTGGCATGCGGTAGAGACGCAGTGGGCCACAATGATGACGACAGCAAGAGGCCCTAACAGAGGGTGGCAGGGGTGCCGACATTGGCGAAAGGATACGGTCAATGGCCATGGTCGAAAGGATACAGTGAAGTGCCATAGATGTGTACGTAATTGGTGGGTGGTTTTCCCCTTCTCTGGACAAACCCTAAAAAGTAGCTATATATCTACTGCAGAGTATGATATCTTCCCCTTGCTCTGTTATTTTGTGTTCCGATATCAACTAAAGTGTAAAAGAAAGGGGAATCAATTTAGTGGCCTCATCTCTCCTGCGACAGTACATTTAAAGGCTCACCATATAGCCTCCATTTTCTAAACTCCTATTTTGGGGATTTTATATTTCTACTCCTATCCTTTATATATTATATTTGAGAGTTCACCTTCCAGAATGCTGACATTTGTCATGCTGACTGGACAAAAAATATAACAGGTCAGCTGCCATGTCAGATTTAGTGTAAAATGCAATTTCATTTTATCTTGGAAAACAACATTCCAGAACTCTATTTCCATATCAAATGAACGGATGCCTGGGGAAAACGCCTTCGACCGAGACAATAGGGTTCGCATTCAATTATACGAGATTTCTGCTAATTTGCATCCTGGAGATTCCGATCAAATGAACGAAATTACAGTAATTCTCAATCAATTGGAGTTGATGCTGATTTCTGCTAATTGGATTTGGAGTTGAGCGAAATCTGGAAAGGAAAAATTCTCCTTGGCAACGGATGCAGTTTCCTTCTAGGATGAAATTGTGATGAGCGGAATTTTATCGGCGCCCCAAGAACTGTAAGTTTCCTTAATTTTTTCCCCAATTCTACTTATTCACGGATTTCTTTATTACGATTTAGTTCATATATAAATCAGTTCTACGTTAGCCATTTCATCAAACTTGGTTATAAGGGCTGTTCATACCTAAAATCTTTGCATATTTGACATGTCTACCAAACCCATTCACCATTTGCTGAAAATCAATCCAACAAGTGAATGCTGGAGAGTGTTAGTTCGTGTGGTTCGATTGTATAAGATGCCAGATTACAATGATGACAAAGTCACTAATTCGATTGAGATGATATTCATGGATGAACATGTAAGAATCATCTTCTTATACGAATTTTGCTTACATTATAATAATTTGGCATACATTACTGCATACATCGCTGCATCCATTATACGAATTTGGCATACATTACTGCGTCCATGTTGACAAAACAAGCCCTAACTTGGCTCTGTTTTCAGCTCTTCAAAGGAAAAAAACAGTATTTTTAAGCAAATTGCATGAGTAGTATGGCATAGTATACTTCATTTTTGTTTATAAAATTAAATTGTGCTTTGTGGGAAGGATACTCATAATTTTAGTGCAGTATTGGTTTGTTCCAATTCATCTACCATTTCACTGAAAGTGAAATGTTCAGTGAGATCGTTAAATCAAACAAATTTTTTTCTCCCCTTGAAAACCGGAGAATTTGGAATTAGGTTAAAGTATTTGTAAAACATACCCAAAATTTATTGTTAAACATTAGTTAAACAGACTTGATAGTTATGGTTAAACATTGGTTAAACAGAATAGTATTGGACATTGGTTAACATTTAGTTTAGATTCTTAAAGTCTGATGAAATTTCTCCAATCCCTGTGTATTGGACAGTTCTCCAGTGCTAAAAAAATTAGACAAAACAACATTTTATATTTCCAAAAAAGTCTGTTGAGTTTATATTCTTGGTTATTATAGTGTCTATTCATGTTGAAGCTTCTCAAGTGCTTAAAAAAATCAGACAAAACAACTTTTTATATTGCCTAAAAACTTTTCAAAGTCTCTACAGTTTTGTTTTGGCAGTTTCAAATCACATTTGAAAATGCCAGATAGTGTTGATACCTGTTGAAGTTTCTTTAACCCCTAAGTATTGCAGTCTCTCATGTCCCTATGAGTATTAAAGTTTCCTTGACATTTTGCAGGAAACTACTATCCATGCCACTGTAAGAAAGAGTTTGGTCGGAGCTTTTGAGAATAAAATAAAGGAAGGCTCGGTATATGTCTTTGCTTATTTTGGCGTTGGCAATAGCAGTGGATATTATCGCACTACAAGACATGAGTTTCGCCTAAATTTTCAATCAAGGACCACCGTCACAGAAACCAGTTGTGACAACATACCAGTTTATGGAATTAAGTTGGTTGCATTCCGTGATATATTGCACGCAGATTCAAACTATCCGTATTTAGTTGGTAATAATTCTTACTTGAGCCTTAAAAGTTTTTTTTAATTTGAATTACATACCCGTTAAAGAGGTGGATTAGATGGAATATGTTTCTCTTCGTTCTTCTCAATATCATCATTACATTGCAGACACTATGGGAATTCTTTCAGCTGTTGGGAAGGAAAGGGAGATAGTGAGGGAGTCAAAAAGAACAAAGATGATTGTGATTACGTTGGAGGCCGAAGGGTATAATGTTGTTATTTTTAGTTTCGTAAAAAGTGGTTGTTTTTAAATTAACTAACATCTAATGCTAACTTTTGAACTTTGGTATACCAGACAAAGGTTGGATGTTACTTTATTTGGTGAGTATGTTGACGTGCTTAAAAGCTTCTTTCGACACGCGCCATTGGAACATGCGGTGATTGTCATTCAATATGCTAAGGTCAAGATGTTTCAAGGTATTAATATCTTGAATACTATTGTGTTCTTTTATTTCATTTAAAATATTGTTAATCAATTTTATTTCTTTACACTTCATTATATATTACACAACTATTTTCTTATATTCAACTTGCATGCTTTTAGGAAATTATATTCTACAAAATGTAATGTATGGTACACGTCTTCTGTTGAATCCGGAAATAGACGTCGTTACTGCTTTCAGACAGAGGTCAGTTCATCTCATATTTAATCTGTTTTACTCGCTGATTTTGAATTGGATATAAGTAAGAGTAGATGAGACGCATGCAAACTAATAGAATAGTTACCATCATGCAAGACTCTTGGCAGCTCTTCTCAACATCAGCCTGTTAGGTTATCATGTGATAACATTACGAGTTCAGACCAAAATGACTTCCTCGATATGAGCAAAACAAGGGTGATTGCTAACCTTAAGGAGTCTAATGAGGTATATTTGATATTTTTTTCCATTCAATCCATACTTTCGAGACTTTTAATTATTGGTTTGCTTTTTGGATTCAATATATTAACATATGCACTATTAATTGAGAAATAACATGAGACCTAATATATGAATTTCTATAAAAAGGATGGATCGTATGTGGTGTATGGGACTATTGTTGCGGTAAACAATGAGAGCGATTGGTGGTATTTAGCATGTAAGTGTAACAGAGCTGTTAAACCTGATGGTGCAATGTACTACTGTGTGCACTGCTCAAATCGTGTTTTCAAGGTCACCCCGAAGGTATAATTTTTTTTTTAAATCAAAGATTTTCTTTTAGTTGTTACATATGTGCATGGAAGGAGATTACTTAAAAACTCTTTGAATTTTTTAAACTATTCTCTGCTTCAGATATCTTATCAAGCTGTCTGTTAAAGATGATTCTGGAACAACCACATTTGTTTTATTTGATCGTGAGGCGTCCAATATATTGAATATATCCTGTGCAGAATTGATGGAAAAAAGTGATTTGGTATGTACTCTTGCTTCAGAATGCTTGGTTTATTAATTTTTATTACATCATACACAGCTTTAGTTTTATTTTTTTCACATACTAACAAAATGTTGCTTTTAAGTATGAAATTAGCATGTTCATACTATAGGCAGTTTACTGATAACACACATGAAATTATTATCTACAAATTTTGACCATAATGTATAAAGTACACACGGATCGTCCACGTGAAAAAAGGTTATATTTTTTAAAGTAAATGCTGCTGTAATTCCTGATAAAAATGGTGCTTAAATTTATGAAATAAATGTAAAACATTCATAATTTTTATGATAGTTAAAAACAAATGTATAATACTTCAATTTACTTTATTTTGAATACAATGTTTGTCTTATTTGTAAACTAATGTAACGGATAAATTTCTTGCAGGCTGGAAGTTTTGAAAATCCAAAAGAGTTTGATGATCTCTTGCTTGGGAAGACGTATATTTTCAAAGTTGAGGTAAGGGTCATGAACCGCGGCCAACATGAACACTCTTTTAGAGTGTCAAAAGTATGTCACGATGATAGCATCAAGAAAAAATACCTAGAATCTATTCATGCAAATAATTCAAAAGCTACAGCGAATCGCGCTATACCAGTGTACTCCGTTGAGGAGGAGTTTTTAAACAGAACGCTTGCTAAAACAATAGAGTCTTTGAAGGATTGCACCGAGGTTAGTTATACCATTTTAATACACACGAAGACATTTCCAAGGCATTGTATTTAATAATTTACCTATTTTGGCACTAGGATGGAGAGTATGCAGTCTACGGTACCATCAAAGGTGTGGATGGTGGAGCTGATTGGTTCATACCAACGTGTAGGTGTGGATCGGAAGTGATTCCACGGAATGGCTTTTACTACTGCAGCGACTGTAAAAAATGTGTTGTGAATGTGATTCCAAGGTAATATTACTCTTAAAATTCTACCAAGATTTCAGCTTTTATCCTACCTACCAATTTCATAACCATTTGAAAAGCCTTCTTAATATAGAAGTACATTGATCACACTTTGTGTCGTTTTCTGTCATTCCTTAATACAAGATCTCAAAACATATAATAAGGTTGATGACACTTTTTATTCGTAGTGTATGATCAACAAACATATAATAACGTTTTTTATAGTCTGATTGATGATGTTTCTCCGGTACGTGAGAATTAAAAAAATGAATTTTACTTTTTATCCTGCATATTATGACGTGACTTTTCACACGGATTGCATTGTTACAAAGTATTTTAATTTTCCAATTACTAAATGAGTCAGTCTCAACGTTATTTGGTTCAGATACTATTTTTTCTCACACGTGGGTCAATTACTATTTATTTTTTCATACAATAAGATAAGCAGATAGAGAAATTGATGATAATGTAATCCTACAGTGTCTAGCTTCTTTGAGTTATATTTTGCAGAAAAAATACTATAATGCTGGATTTTTGTTTGGTGTTGGTATAACAATGTCACCTTGAAAACTAATCACACTAAGACGTTTTGAGTAAGACAACCAAAAACAGTATCTCCAGTGCTTATCTACATACTTTTGATATTCGAATTTTAACAAACGATAAAAACATATGATAACACCTAATGGTAAATATTAATATAATGAATATATGCAGGTATCGAATTAAGGCAAGAGTGAACGATGCATCAGATAGTGCAACTTTTGTGATATTTGAGAGCCTTGGATGTTTGTTGTTGCACAAGTCCTGCTCCGAGATGCTGAAATTAAGTGAGGTATGTATAAAAAAACTTATTTCATTAATGCAGTTTGTATAGAGACCTTAAGAGGTATTTAAAATTGGTGAATTTCTTTGACACTTATTGACAAAATGAATGGCTGCCCCGAGTAATGTTCCTATTTGTGTATGAAGGGCGTGCTGGTAGGATGTGAACAACCAGATGTTTTCAAACAAATGCTACTTGAAAAGTCATTTATCTTCAAGGTTGAAGTCAAGACTGCAAATATGAATGATTTTGAACCTTTCTACAATGTGATTGACATATGCTTTAATGATCGGATCATTTCAAAATTTATGGAGATGCACTCTTCGTTTTTCTCTCCTCAGGTTTGGAATTAAAACAATAACTTCAAGCTCATTCTCTACCACTTTTTGAATGATGGAATATTTATGTTTGGTAATGTATTTATGTTTTCTTTATACCAGACGGATAAGACTATCGGGTATTCAACTGATGGGAAGACAAACACAGAAGTCATTTCCGTTGGCAATGCATCATCTTGCGTAAAGGTATATATTGAAATCCAAGACATAGAATAAGATTAATATTTAAATATTTTTTATTCATTAAATTTCTGGTGCAACCTTAAAATCAGTTTCTCTCAACTTTAATTTTATAAATTCAATTGTGATACATTGAATTTCCAACTATTTATAGTGTATAACCCTTTGATTTTCTCCTTGCAGAATTTAATTGTGGACTTTGTTGAATCTCAATATAGTCATCTGACACAACCTAGAGATGATATGATCAATCTTACTCCCATGAAAAGAATGCAAGAGGAATTGTATAATGTTGGAGATGAAGATGATTCCGTCAACAAGATGAGGAGTGTTAAGATTGAAAAAAATTAATCATTGTCGTTATTTCTTCATTTGAGTATTCTAAGTTAATTGTTGGATTTCATTACTATATACTTTAAGTTTTATTTTAATATTTGCATGAATGATGTTGTTGGTTTTGAACAATGAATTTTATTACACCTACAATAAATTATCTTTTCCTAAGTGTTGTCATATGTTATTGTGTCTAAATTTATTGTGAACTAATTGTTGTGTAATGCGTCTGATTCTTATAACATTCTAAAACAATATCAAAGAATTCAATTGTTTATGATGACTCAATTTAAATATTTTTTCATTTGATGAAACAACTTTGTGTCTTGAGATATAATCTACTAACTATTTACAAAATTGGGCATAATTTAAAGGTAATAAATTTATGATACTAACAAATAAATTAAATTTAGAAGTATTCAAAATATTCTAAGAGATATGTTTTCTAGATTATTTATTCTTAATTTCTAAATGATGTTTTTTTCCTATTCATTTATTCGTGTCACAATAACAAACTTCCTCCATTCCAATTTAAATTAATCATTTTGACTTTTGGGCATATTTAAAGAAAATAAAAAATAACGTTGATTTTTCGAAATTGCCATTACTTTTTAATAGAGGAGATGATGAATGAGAATATAAGGTGAAAAAAGTGAGTTATTTAAAGGGTAATTTAGCTATTTTATTTTTAAAATTTTACAAAACAACTAACAGACAATTTATTTTGGGATAAGAAAAAAAGACAAACAGGTAATTTAAAAAAGGACAGTGGAAATAGTATTTAGGAGACAAATCAATAAAAAAGATATTTTTTCATGAACACAAATCAAAATACAAACTGACATTAACACGTATGTATGTATTAACACGTATGTATGTATTTTTTTCAAAGTCTCTTAGTATACGTATGTATGTATGAACATATAAAATGATACTCCGTACTTTTTTATTTCAATAAATAGTTTTAAAAACTAAAAATATTTTCACGTAAATGATATTTTCAAGATTTTCATAAAAGCAAATAAATTACTCCATAATCTTTCATGCTTTCCATATTTGTGGAGAATATTCATGTTTTACTTCTAATATCACGACTTACCTTATTAAAGAATACATCAAATCTACGGAGTATATATTTATTGCATAGTAACTCTTATTATTAATAGAATTCATATTTAAGAATAATCTTACAAATTATGAACAAAACTACTTATTTTAGACATGTAATGGGAACTTTATATCTAAATACACGATTCGTGGTTATTTTTCATCCAGCTGTAAATTTCTTACTACTCGCCCGCTTCAATAGCTACAATGCAAAACCAATGTAAGGAAAGATTGATATTAGCAAAAGAGGCGAGAATGCGAAGAAAAGAAGTGCTTCAACAAAAAAAACCATCGAATAAAGGTATTCCTTTAACTAATTATATTTCTTTATTTATTATATATAATTCATATTTTCTATAGGCTTTATTTTCTATAAATATGATTTTATAGAAATTTGATGAAAAAATATTATCCTAGTGCATGTGTGTATAAAATTTTGGGAATAACTAAATAGAATAAAATAATTTTCTAAATTTAATTTCTCCATGCGATGTGTCACATTCAATTTGTTTCTAATCTTCATACTGAAATCCGATCCTTTGTTATGGATAGCAAATTTATTATTTCAGTGAATTAGGTTATATATTTAGTTTTAATTAAGAGATGACATTCTGGCGAAAAAAAATATTGTATGATTTACTTATTACAGAAATAATGTCCTATTGATAGTATATCAATAAATGATGGAGAATTCCATAGAATTAATGCATATTATAGAATTGTATACATTAATTGTTTATTTTGTTTTCCATGTATTTTTCTTTACAAAAAAACATATAACTGTTTAAGGATACAATGTTAAAGATGAATGTAATTATTAGTGAGTAATAATATAGATTTATTTGGTACATGCATTTATAACAATTTATAATAATGTTGTGTATAACTAAGTGATGAACGCGCATTATATATAGTAAATTTAAGTACACACAACTATCATTGTAATAGCTATATATAACCATATTATAAACTTATTACTTAAACATAGTCGTTTTGTGTGACTCAAGGCTGACAATTTTTTCAAACCCTTTATTGGAAAATAAAAGCTTTAAAATAGAAAGTTGAAATTTTAAAAAAGAAGCATATTTTTAATTACACTTGATGTTTTGATTTTAATATATACAAAAAATCAGTAGAGTATTGTTAGATAAACACAACAATAAATCATCATTTATTTTATAAATAATAATAATAATATTATTATTATGGATATTATTATTATTATTAATATTGTTGTTGTTGTTGTTGATAATATTATCCAACGTAATTTAGGAACCAAATTTTAATCAAGAGTTTTTAATTTTTTTATAGACAGATTTTTTTGGGGTTTTTTTTGCATTCTACTCCCTCCGTCCACGAGTATTAGTCCAGTTTTTACTTTTTTAGAAAAAATTGATAAACTTTATCTCAGAGGTAGTAAAAAAATAAAATAAAAATTGGTAAAAAAAATAATATTATTAGATTTATTATATCAAGAATTTCCAAAATATTACTTTTTGTATGTAATATAAAACATATATTTTATTTAATTAGAGGTCAAATGTTAAAAAAATTGATTAAAAAAAGTTAAAACTTAACAAATACTCAAGGACGAAGGTAGTAATACACTTAAATAGGCATTATGTACCAAAGATTTTTTTTCATTAATCTATCATATATAAAACTTATGAAATATATCCATAAAACATTCCTAAAAGAAGCATTAAAAAGTATTTACTTTTTCATAAAGCAAATATTCGTAAAAGTAGTATTTTCTTTCTATGCTTGATTACATTCACAGATGGAGAAGCATCGTCGTCAGCCATAGGCTCGCATAATCGAAGCCGTTCAAGAAAGAATGTACTAAGTGATGTGACAAATGGTAATTTTTTTATTATAATTAAGATTTAATATTTCTAGTACATTTTCCCTAAAAAAGGATCTATACAGTGCTTCAATCAGAGAATAATTCTACACCCACTTCATCACGCTTTCAAGTGTTTAAGAGACAGAAGAGAATTGATCTATCTGCAATCACACGTTCTATTACTTTCGAAGAAGGTAATCATTCAAAAATTTTCTTTGTGCATTAGGTAACTATCTGCTATTAAAAATATATTTAAATATTAACTATATTTGTATTTTAAATACACAAAAATGTTGGTGTTGAAGAAGGTTCATCTACTCAATATACATCAGCAAAACCGTTTTTAGATAATCTTGCATTTGGAGAAGCTGAAATTAAAGGTATGTTTACATAATATGTAACGCATTTAATTTTTGTAAAATGCTAAATATTTATAAACAACTTTCTATATCATATTTTATTATTCCTGTGTAGATATAATTGATTTTGGAGATCCCACATTTAAATGTAAATTCTGTGGAGCATTGTTATGGTATGGAGAAAGAGCTGAAAAAAGTAGAGAATCAGAAAAACCTGACTTTTCGATTTGTTGTATGAAAGGAAAAGTTGAACTGCCTCTGCTAAAGAAACCTCCAGATGTGCTCTATAATTTATTTAATGGGAGTGACGTTAGGAGTTCCCATTTTTTGAACAATTTAAGAAAGTACAACAGTATGTTTTCATTCACGTATATGGATGGAAATATTGATACATCTCAGAACAACGGTCGAGCAGCTCCACAGTTTACTCTTAGTGGTCACAATCATCATCACATAACATCATTATTGCCACAAGATGGTGGAAGGCCAAGATTTACTCAATTATATATTTATGATACACAGAACGAGATATCAAATAGAATAGCTCATTTCAGGTATTTCAAATATTTTAGTATGTGCTGCCCTTTAATGCATGTACTCTTTATTTGTGCATGACAAAATATTTTCATGGAACATAATTATCATAATGACATAATTTTTTTCAATGCAGAAGGCGGAATAATTCTTCGGCTATTGATACAACTTTAGTCGAGGATTTGAAAAATATGATAGATGAACATAATATTTTGGCACAGAGTTTCAGAAGAGCTAGAGATTTCGTGCATAGTGAGCCCACATCTACTTTGTCTATGAGGCTTGTGAGAAGTAGATCTAGAGACTCGAGAAATTATAATATCCCCACAGCGGACGAAGTTGCAGCTCTGATAGTTGGAGATTTTGATTCAAAAAATGAAGAAAGGGACATCATCGTCGTAAAAAGAAATGGATTCTTGCAACAAATCCATGAGACACACCCGGTGTTCATACCTCTTCAGTACCCTTTGTTGTTTCCTTTTGGGGAAGACGGATATCATGAAAATATCCGTATAAGAGAATTATTTTTCCTACAAAACAATGTAAAGCGTCCAAATATATCAGCGAGAGAATTTGTTGCATATCGTATACAAGAAAGGGAAAATGATGGTGGCATTTTGTTGCTTGCACGGAGATTGTACTTACAATTTTTGGTAGATGCTTACACGATCGTTGAGGCACAGAGAATCCACTGGGTAAAGTTAAACCAAGATCAATTAAGGGGAGCAATTATGAGTGGCATAGAAGAAGCTGTGATTAGAGGTGATACCCAATCGGCATCTGTTGGCCAACGAATTATTCTACCATCTTCATTCACTGGGGGAATGAGATATATGTTTAACAACTGTCAAGATGCTATGGCCATTTGTAGAAGACTTGGTTATCCAGATTTGTTCATTACTATGACATGTAATCCCCAGTGGCCAGAAATTGCAAGATATATGACAGTAAGAAAATGTAGAGCTAAAGACAGACCCGATATTGAATCTAGGATTTTTAAAATGAAATTGGATCATTTGGAAAAGGACCTAAAAAAAGGCCGAATATTTGGTGAAGTGATTGCAGGTAATGCTATAGTTTGGTATCTTATTTTCATTTAAATAATAAAATTAATATACTTTAAACATTATTATTTTATGCATCGTTATTTGACTGGAATAATTGTGTGCAGGTTTGTACACAGTTGAGTTTCAAAAGAGAGGTTTGCCTCATGCACATATCTTAATTTGGTTACACGAGAGAGATAAACTTCAATCACCAGAGTTGATTGATCGTGTGATATGTGCAGAGTTGCCTGATAAAGAAAAGTACCCAAGGTTGTATGAATCTGTAACTCGCTTGATGATGCATGGTCCCTGTGGAGTAAATGATCCTAGATCTCCATGTATGGATGATGGAAAATGCAAAAAGTATTTCCCGAAAAAGTTTGTTGACAAGACATCATTTGATGAGAATGGGTATCCGGTATATAGAAGAAGAAACATGGGGATCACCACAACAAGAAAAAATGTCGAGTTGGATAATCGATTTGTTGTGCCATACAATCCACTGCTCTTGATGAGGTATCAAGCTCACATCAACATTGAATATTGGAACAAATCTAATTCAATCAAATATCTCTTTAAATATGTCAATAAGGGTCCAGATAGAGTAACTGTTGCAGTTACCCAATCTAAATCTGACGATGCTCATAATGAGGTGCGTGATGAGACAGAGAAATACTATGATTGTCGTTACGCCTCTGCATGTGAAGCATCTTGGAGAATCCTCTCTTTTGATATACATCACAGATGGCCAGCAGTATTGAGGTTAAATTTCCATCTCCCAGGACAGAAATTTGTCACTTTTAAGGAGCAACAAAAGTTAAAAGATGTTGCCAGACAAAATCTTTACAAGCCTTCAATGTTTGAGGCTTGGATGATTGCAAATTCAAAGTACAAAGCAGGGGAAAATCTAACGTATGCAGAATTTCCAGGACATTTTGTGTTCAACAGCAAGGAGCGTGAATGGCATCCGAGGAAACAGAGACCATCAATAGGCCGCCTACAATATATGCCTGCAGGAACAGGAGAGTTATACTACTTGAGAATACTATTAACTGTCCAGCGGGGGTGTACAAGTTATGAAAGCTTGAAGACAGTTAACAATGTTCTGTATAACACATTCGAGGAGGCATGCGATGCATTGGGGTTACTTGCTGATGATAAAGAATTTATTGAAGGTATAAAAGAGGCTGCTGAGTTAGGTTCTGGGAAACAGCTTAGAAAATTGTTCGTCACGTTATTAGTGACAAATACCATGAGTCGCCCTCAAATTGTTTGGGAAAAATCATGGGAACGCCTGGTGGATGGAATTTTATTTGATCGACGGAGACTATTGCAAAATCAAGGTATTTCTCTTTCCATGAAATAGTTTTAACATATTAATCCTTACATAATGCATTGTCTTGAAACCTACAATTTTTATTCAATACTTTGTAGAATTAAATAAGTTCTATTATTTCTGATTCTTTTTTCAGAGCTTATCATTTCTCAAGAAGACCTAAAGAATTTATGTCTGATTGAGATTGAAAAGTTGCTTAATTCAAATGGACGGTCTTTGAGGGAGTTCAGTTGTATGCCGTTTCCAGATGACAGCCCACTCAATACATTTCAAAACAATTTGTTGGTTGAGGAGTTGAATTATGATAAAGAAAAGTTGTCATCTGATCTTACAGGATACTTATCTACGATGAATGAAGATCAGCGGAAGATATATGATGAAATAATGGAAGTTGTGACAGCTAGAAAAGGAGGATTCTTTTTTGTGTATGGTTGCGGTGGAACTGGAAAAACATTTCTTTGGAAATCATTGTCTACTTCTCTAAGATCAAGTGGTAAAGTTATCTTGAATGTCGCATCCAATGGGATTGCAGCATTGCTTTTGCCTGGGGGAAGGACAGCACACTCAAGATTTTCAATTCCTTTGGCGCTAAAAGAGTGCTCAACGTGTGCCATCAAACAAGGAAGCCCAAAAGCAGAACTAATTCAACAAGCAAGTTTAATCATATGGGATGAGGCATGTATGATGAATAGATTTGCTTTTGAGGCCTTGGATCGCACGATGAGAGATCTAATGAAGTTCGCTAATCCAAACTCAATAAATGAACCATTTGGAGGGAAAACGGTTGTGCTCGGAGGTGATTTTAGACAAATTCTTCCTGTTTTGCCCAGAGCTTCAAGAGAGGAAATTGTAGGTGCAACCATTAATTCTTCAACTTTGTGGTCTTATTGTAGAGTTTTTAAGTTGACGAAGAATATGAGATTGCATTCATCAACATCCTCTTGCATAGAAAGAGACACACAAGATTTTTCAGATTGGATAATCAAAGTTGGAGATGGAAAGCTTGGACAAGTGATTGATGGAACTGCTGACGTTGAAATTCCTCAAGAATTTTTTATTCTAGATAACAGTTCTCCCCTCAAAAGTATAGTGGACTTTACTTATCCGAACTTATTGGAGAATATGAAAAGTTATTCTTTTTTTGAGGACAGGGCACTACTTGCACCCACGCTCGAAGTTGTAGAGATGGTAAATGAATTTGTCTTATCCCTCATTCCCGGAGATGAAATGGTGTACTTGAGTTCTGATTCGTCATGCCAAGCAGATTCAGATGTAGGTATTGATGGCGACTGGATAACAGTTGAGTTTTTGAATGATATCAAATGTTCGGGAATCCCAAACCACAAGATAGTCTTAAAAAAAGGGGTACCAATTATGTTAGTGAGGAACATTGACCAAACATCTGGATTGTGTAATGGTACAAGATTAATTGTTGACGAGATGCGAAAGAATGTTATTGGTGCTATTGTTGTTTCAGGAAATCGAGTGGGTGAAAAAGTTTACATACCCCGAATGAATTTGGTACCGTCTGATCCAGGACTACCTCTGAAGTTCCAGAGAAGACAATTTCCAATAGTCTTATGTTTTGCTATGACTATTAACAAGAGTCAAGGTCAAACATTGTCATTTGTTGGATTATTTTTAACCAAGTCAGTGTTCACTCATGGTCAGCTTTATGTTGCTGTTTCGCGAGTGAAGACAAAGACAGGATTAAAAATATTAGTCTTAGATAACAATGGAAATCCTTGCAGTCATACAAAAAATGTTGTATACCCTGAAGTCTTTCAAAAAATTTGGTATTAAAACAAAATTTGTTAGGTGTAGATTCAATTCCTTAAATATTATTCTTTTTACTTCGTCTTTCTTTTCTATGTTATTATAAATCATGTATGAAGTAAATTTCCTTTATTGCGAGAAAAAAAATATTACATTGAAAAAATTCAGAAGCGACAAGATATTCGTCCGACCCCGTGCATTGCACGGGTAGGAATACTAGTTTTGGTATATAGTCAATGTTTTACTCCTATTTTGGTCCTTATTTCCTAACATTGGCACACCCTCCAATGCAAAATAGGTAATTATTTATATTATTTTAAATAATTGGGATTCTAAAAACCAAAAAAAAAATCGGTATTTAAAATACCGTTAATCCCACCCACGAATTTGCGGCGGCAGAAAAGCTTCCCTCTGGCATAATTTCTCCAACAATAATCTTCAAGGTCCAACATACCAATCACAAGTCTTTTTGAAAGTGCTCGTTGATTTTTTCACATTCAATGATACAGATGTGAGTTATGTAAAAGTAGAAGTCATAATTTAGAAGCAGAAAGCATGTATCTTTAGCTTTGCTTGAAAGCACTTCTAGACTTTAATTTTAACTTCTAAAGCCATAATTTATAAGCTAAAGCAGATTAGCAAACATTTAAAATTGTGTTTTAGTAAAATAAAAGCTATAAGTTATTTTCAAATGCAATCCCAAACACCCTCAGAGTAACATTAACCCTTAGACTTTAACAAATTGGGAATAGCCATTGTTTTGAAAATTACTTTTCCCAAGAGAGCGTTCAAATGACATTTTTTTTTGTAACAAATCACTTAGGTAGAAATTTGATGCATATGGGGTGAAAAATATGCTTAAGAATTCCTTCAAAATAAAAAGAACAATAATATGCCCTAGGGTTATACCTTGTGCATTCGGGTAGCAGGGAAAGAACAATATGGTCAAATAAATTGCTGCCAAAAGGACTCCTGAATCCTGTCCAATGGCAGGTACACATACAGATAACTGTGCATTTTAGTTACATATTTAGGCCAAATAAAAATACTTAACCGTAATCCGAGCGTTAACTAAAAGACGAGATTGAAGCAAGATGCAAGGACTAGGCTGATGGTTTACTACTTCATGTCCTTTGGTGGGGTGTGGTTCTGCCCCATCTCTTTTGTGACACTAGAGAACACTGTACTCCACTCCGTCTGAATGCATTCCGGTACGATTCCATGAATACTATGTGGTGCCCAATTGTCTCCGGGGGTGCTCGTGTGAACCCAAGACACGTTCTGAGGTGGATTCTCGAAATCAAAATAGAAGGGGGTCGGCTTTGTCTCCTTTGTTGAAGAACTGCTCTTCTTTTGCTGCTTCGGGTTAGCCCCAGGGCTCTCTGATGGCTGGAAATTTAATCAGTTAAAGAATATTGTCAAAAATGAAAGGGCTTATGGCCCCCCTTTGAAACCTGGGAAATGCTAGGAGAGTGAATAAGGAGGAATAAATTTTAGGGGAAAATAAAAAGAGTGGCTCGTGTTCAATGACTAAAAACAGTGATATCTAGATATATGTAAAACTTCAGAGAGTTCTAAGCAAACACAAGTACACAACTTTCACTCGTAATTCCCAAGATCAAACATTGAAAAAATTAGTTTTCTTAGCTTTTTTCCTTTCCCTGACATCTTCCAAGTTCCATGGACTTGGGGTCCGTTTGTACTCTGAATATACTTGAAAAAGAAAATAGGCAATAATATATGGAAGAAAATCGGAAAGAAAGAAAAGGTGAGGCAAACGAAATAAAGAACTGTTCAAACTCAATAAGTCAATTTTAGATATTTGTTCAAACTTCAAACTCATTTTATTTTCATTTTTTTTTGTATAAAGACTGAAATGTAGATATATTTAAATTTCTAAATGTTTTAATAGAATTTGATATTCTAAGGTCTTTTGCAAGATAATTCCAAATGATAAATAAGTTATTCCATAGACTTTTTTCCCATCCCTTAGCTTTTTCTGAGTTCTAAAAGTCTGAGAGAACCAGTTCATGAAAACAGTGGAGGGCTTGATCAATGAACTATTGATGTAGCGTCACTAGTGCCGGAGTTAAACATTTTACCTTACGTTTGCTTCCCGTTTCTAGATAATGAAGGACTTCTTTGCTTGACCGGAACCTTTTGCCTGAAACTGGATCGATATAATACTGCAGAAGCAAAAGCAAATGCAGTACGAGTTGGGAGTTAGCATTACGAACCATAGAGTTAAGCTTACAATGTTCACAATTACTTCAAAGAAAAGAGGATACTGTGCTGTGTGTAAATGCTTTAGAGAAATGAAATGTCTCAGAATAAGCAAACGATATCCAAATCCCATTAGGTACCACTAAGCACCATAATCGAATGGTTGAAAAAACAATGTAATTTCAAAGGAAGAATTTACTTACAGAAGCTTCTGACAAAAAACAAGAGAGTACATAAATAGAATTTGATAACATGGTTTGTTGCATGTATTAAATAAGTAAAAATGAAAAGATCTTTACAATACCACAACAAAGGGACGAATAATTTGTTTTATCTTTTAAGTTTTAACTTGGCAATATTTCAGACTGCAGATTTTCCAAAACAAGCTATTTACAAATTAAATGCATAACTGATCAAATGTTTCCTTTTGGACAATTTTCTCTTGTTCTAATATTAGCACAGGCTTGTATCTTATTAGAAATCCTTAACCACACATAGATTTGTTTGGTAAAAAGAAGAAGCATCAAGTTTGAGAATAATCAAATTGAGCACAGTTAAAACGGGACATGAAAATGTAACACAATTGGTCTTAGTCACTCTTCATAGCAAAGTTTTGAAAGACAAAATCAGGGTCGAGGGCGGTTGACTTCTGCCTCCCAAGGTGTAACCGTGTAAGCCCCTATATTGAAGGAGCCCCTATATTGAAGAATAAAGTAGGATAAATAGGTATTTCATAATAAATTAATACTTCATAGAAAAAAAAACTTAAAGTCTTGTAATAAAAACTCACATTACATTGTTCAAAAATCAACAAAAAAGTAAATGAATATGAACTAAAATGATAAACATGCATGTTAACCAAAAGACCCATTTTTAAAAACTAAGAACATAATTTAAACTTATTATCCTAACATCCTTACTATGTATCTTCAAAAGTAATATAATCATTTATTACGGAGTATATGATTATCTAAGGCTTGTGGTTGTGGTGGCGGCTGATGGAAGGCTACTAGGCTACTAGTGAATGTTGAACTACGTGGATGGACCGATAGAGATACTTTTTTATGTAAATAACTAAAGGACATTAAGGAAGAAAAATACTCCGTAAAAGAAAAGGGGAGGAGTGTTCACTGAAGTCCAACCACTTTAAATAATAAGCCCAACAAAGTATGGAAAGTAAGCCACTATAAAATTAAGGCCTACGACTCAAGAGCCTTTGCGCCTTACAGCCCCTGAGCCTCAGCATGTAGGCCTTGTCAATGTCAACTAGGGCTTAAGCTTTCCCCACGCCTTAACACAACAGAGACATAAGCCTTGCATACTTTTAAAAACCATGTTCATAAGAAAAATGGCTTATAAATAGGATCTAGACCCTTTTAAAAGGTGCATTATACTGATGACCAGAGGGAGTCTAGCGAGACAAAATTGGTCCTTCAACTGCTTATTCTCCTACCAAAAAAGATTAGGAGAAATTTAGCCAATAATGTGGCTCACCATAATCTACATATAACTGGTGTACTCTAGTATAACAAAATAATGCTACATGTTGTGTGTGTGAGAGAGAGTTAATCCTATGTAGAGAAGAAGAGAAAAATGGGAAGATGAACAAGTTAACAAATCATATCATATGAACAGTGTTATTAATGGCGAGTAACCAAATTCTGCCATAAGGAACAACCAAAACCTGTGATTCTTCAAAAATTCCACACAAAGGTCTAATCTATTACAGCTACAATGGCATACATTCACAAACCTAGGAGGTTGATTATCAAAATCTCTCAAGGGATTAAAACACAGAAATCAGACACAGCCATTTTACTCACACAATTCAATCAAGAACATAAGATACACTTCGCTCAGAAGTATATTTTCAAGAAAATGTATGCTTAAGAAGACCTTTTGACGTGTACAATTTGTTCCATTAGATGAGAGTTTTTCACTGACATCTTAACATCCCAATCCCAATGCAAAAGATCTGTTCATAAATGGATAAACTCCAAATACAACTTGATAGAAATCTTAACTAAAAGAACCTAGGAAAATTAAGAGCATGAACAATGATATCTTATCCCAATGTACAGTGTAATACGCTCTCTAATCTCTATATACCGCAAAAAGGATCACATTTACTTATTGGTATGTACCAACATTTAAAGAAATAACTATGTAGTTCATATTATTTCTCTCTACCCTGCATCAGGCTTAACCACAAATTCAAATCTTTGTAGTTCACATGTGGAACCTTTTTTATCTTCAGTAGTTGCCGATTCCCAAAATTCTTCCAAGATTGTAATACAATTGTAATCGGAATTCACAAAATGAAAGAATACAATAGGAATATGAATTGCCTAAATTAACCACAGTATTAGTTACAGAAAAAAAAAAGAACACGGCGCTAGTGACTGTATAATATCCGACGACATAACAGTATTTAAGATGAAGAAAGCAGAAGCAGAAGGGAAATACCCGATCGACAGTTCCCGCAGTAGCTCCAGAGTTGCGAACTCTCACATCCATCTTCCAGTTCTCCGGCAACCAGCTTGGGCGCTCGACCGATTCCTCCGAGACCTGCTTCCTCCTCGCTCGCCGCTGTGACGAGTCGGCCGCCTGATCTGTAACAGTGTCTGCCGTCATCCCTGGCTCCGATTCAGGTGGGGCAACTTGGGTCCGGAGCGGAACGGCGTCGGTGTCTACTTCGATGTAGGCGTCTGATTGTAGCAGCGGGTCCGGCGGTGGCATAAAATCGTCCGGGTTGAGGCCAGCTTTCTTTCGGGTCGGGCGTGGTTTCCCTTCCTGGGTTTCCAGGCTGGGGTCCATCAACTTCCAGGGAGGAATGAGGCTGATATGTCCGTACATTTCCACGAGGGCTGGCTACGTATTTTTCAGGAAATACGAAATCGTAGCAAGGGGTGTGCACAATTCGGTAACCGACCGAATCGTACCGAAACCGAAAATTCGGTACGTACCGAAACCAAACCGAATAATTTTGTTCGGTATTCGGTTTTTCTTTTTTTAAAAATTCGGTTTTCGGTTCGGTTCGATTTGGTAATTCGGTTTTTACCGAATACCAAATTATTACTTCATTTTATTATTTTAAATATTTTGAAGTTTGAATTCTAACCTTGAGTCCTAGCAACTTATATAGTGGTCTACCTTATTTTATCTTTCCTTTTATTGACAATTTTAATTTTTAAAAAATACTTCATATCTAGCTAAATTTACTCATGCTTACTATTTGACTCTTTCTTCTTTAATTTTTTTTTCATTTATTCTAAATGGTCAATACATTGACCTCACTTCGTAGGGCAATAAATTACCGGTGGCTAAAGGTAAGATCTTTTAAACATTTTGATAGAATACTTTTTATATTTTGAATTTTTTATTTCTTTTTTTATATTTCATTTTTTTACAAGATCAAAATCATGTGTTTCGATAATCTTTTAATAATATGAAAAAATAAGTAATTTATGATTAACTATAGCTAAAAATATAAAGTATTTCTAATTTCTTTAAATGTTGAACGAGATTGCTTGTGGTACAAATTGAAAATAAAAAAAGTGAAGTATAGATGAAAATAAAATGAAATTTTCGGTTTTTTCGGTATTACCGAATACCAAACCGAAATAATTTCGGCATTTACCGTACCGAACCGATTTAATACGGTTCGGTATTCGGTACAAATATAATATTATCGAAATTTCGGTTTACCAAAATTTCGGTTCGGTTTTACCGAATGAACACCCCTAATCGTAGCAAATAAATTATGTGTGGAAAATACTCCCTCCTTTTATAAAACGTTTCATATTTTGGCTTTTATAAAAAAAAATAGAGTAAATTCCATAAAAGGTCCCCAGTTATAAGTCGTTTTACATATTTAGTCACTACATATCAAATATTACTAATTTAGTCCCCAATTACTATATTCATTTCCACGAATGGTCCTTTGTTAACATTTCCGTTAAGAACGTGGATAAAATTGTAAATTCACACTCCGTTCTCTCCTCAATTAAGCTTCCTCTCTCCCTTGCACTCCTTTCCCAAACCCGTCGTTGAGTTTGAAGCTTTGAACCCAAAAGCGAAATCATCACTCTTCTCTCAGTTGTCTGTCTAACTTGGAACCCAAATTTGAAACCAGTAACATTCATGGATGAGTTTTAATATCTTTTTTAAAAAAAATTTCTTGAGACTAATCGATAAAACTCATCCATAAAGCTTATTGGTTTTGATTTTGGGTTCTACTAGTTAGACAAACAACTTAGAGAAGAGTAATAATTTCGGTTTTGGGTTTAGATCTTCAAACTCAGCGACGGGTTTGGCAAAGGAGTGCGAAGGGAGAGAGGAAGCTTAATTGAGGAGAGAAAGGGGTGTGAATTTTGAATTTTATCCACATTCTTAACGGAAATGTTAACAAAGGATCATTCGTGGAAATGAATATAATAATTAGGGACTAAATTAGTAATATTTGATATGTAGGGACTAAATATGTAAAACGACTTATAACTGGGGACCTTTTATGGAATTTACTCAAAAAAAATAAAGAGTGTATATTTGTGGTTGAATTTTAAACTTGAGTAATGCTCCCTCCTTTTAAATTCTTATTTTAAAATTATTTTAGAATATTAAATTTTTTTGTTGAAGCTTATAAATAGCAAATTTGTAATGTTTGTGATCATTGTGTTTGTGAACCAAACATTTCTCTTCCAATTTTGTCCTAAATGTGATGGATAGATTATTAGTGAAAGTAATAAGCAATGAAAGTAATTGCAGATTATTAGATTATTAGTAATAACCACCACGACCGCCGTGCAAGAGATAATGTAACACCCCGAAAATAGGCCTATCAGAATTAATTAATTGATAATTAATTAATTACTAAGAAGGACCCAAAAATAAGTTATGTATAAAGTTTGTCAATAAATAATGAAAATTATATCGTTATGTAGAATTTAACTGTCTGATCCCAACGGTTTAATTGGATTTCAATTCGGAGAAAGTTAGACCAGAAAATGTTCCCTGACTGGGACCAAATTAGTCTCAATCAGGGACTTGCGTTTAGAATCGGAGGAATCCGCCAGCCGAGACGCCAAAATAGTGTTAGGGAGGTCATTTCCCATGGCTTCTTCCCACTCCTCCTTCGTATATAAACCCTCCCATTTCTCACTATTTTACACCATTCTCCTTCCAAGAGATAGCTGAGAGTGTAGAGAGTGAAGTAGTGCTGTCAAGAGAGCTTCCCGTCGCCGGAGATAGCCACAATCCTCGCTGGAAGTTTCGCCTGAAAATCTTCAAAACCTCCATTAAGCTTCGAGGTAAGCCCGTAAATATATCTAGTGACTAGAATGTTCGTATAGATCGTTTCTACGCTCATAAACGGTCGTTTGGTTGAGTTTTGTGTTTGACATGCTTGAAGAACCAAGAATCATAAATCATGAAATTGATGTTTAAACTATGAATTAATGATGCCAAAATGATCTATGAACCTTGGAGAACATTTCTATATAATTTAATTGAAGTTCAGTACCTAAAAATGGTATTCCCGAAAAATGGACCAAAGGTTGAAGAAGATGAACAGTGGCCTGAAACTACACTGCCTGGATCGATCACACTGCCTGGATCGATCCTCTAGCAGTATTTCTTCTGGCTTGGATCGATCCAGAGGGCTGGATCGATCCCCCAAAAATCTGACCCAAAAATTTGTTCGAAAATGCTATTTTTGAACTCTAAAATCCTATTTTTGATACCAATTGATTATGATCATTATAAAAATGATTTTTCACAATAAAAGTGATGTTTTTAACAAATAAAAATGTTATGTGATGAATGACGGTAAGTTAGGGTGTTAACGCCCGAAGCTACGCCGCTAATTGTTATTGAATATTATGTTGATTAATGATTATGATAATGATTATTGATTGATTATTATGATGATTAAATCTTGATGAATATTCTGATTAAAAATGAATCCTGTAAGATATACCCATTTAAGTTAGGCCTTTCGTGTATGAACCCTGGTGGCTAGGGTTAAAACGTATGTACGGGATCCAAGAACCAAACTTGAGTACCTACTCGTTTGGGGGTACCACCCACCCAACAGTGAACACTACGCTGTCGGTTTCTTGTTGGCCTTAAGTGAAGGTAAGTTTAAGATTTTCAAAACCCTTTTATCTTAAACTAGGCCTACCTTAAGGATTATTTAGAAGTACTTTATACTGGAATATAGTTTAATTATTTAAACTAGAATTCGTTTAAGGGTTGACAAATATTAAAGTGATTGGGCTTAGACTAAGAATAGTTTAAGGATATTGTTGAATGTTGAATATTGAATATTGAATATGAATAAATATTGAATGATGAATATTGAATTGAATATTGTAATTATTATAAATGACGGATAAACGTTGAAATGTGAAAATAAAATAATGAATGAAGAATATTGACTAATGATTATTGAGTATCTGAACTGAACATTATGTGCATGATATCAAATGATTTGATTATGAATTTAGATTCAGTTTATATGGATGTTCAACGCATTAGATATGCTTACTCAGCTTAAACGCTGAGCGTGTAGTATGTTTTATTTGCTACACGTAGGCAAACAAAAAGAATGAAGCAATGCTTTCCTCGAGGCAGATGGGACGAGATGGTCGAGAGGATGTGTGTTTTGGATTTGGAATACTGTTTGAAAAGACATAAATTAATTATGTTTGTATTATGTTTTTATTAAGCTTCCACAACATTAAATTACTCCGAATGACTTATTATGAAATAAAGTTTTAAATGTTTGAAATATTTTTGAATGTCTACGAATACCAAGTTTATACTTTAGTCCGAAAGGGCTGCAGACCTGGACGGATTAGGGTGTTACAATTTGGTATCGGAGCAAATGGTTTTAAACCCGATCTTCGGATCAAAACTTGGATTTTAAAAAAACAAAAAAATATTATATATATATATATATATATGTATATATATATATATATATTTATTTATTTATTTATTTGTCAATCACATCCACGACTCTTGCATCCCTCTGCTCCAGGAAGGTAACAAAAATCTAAGTATTGAATTTGACTATATTAAATTTCATAGATGTCAACTGTTAATTCTGAAATGGTATCGAGTGTTGACTCAAGTCGAACTTTCGTACTCGGCAAGAGACGGAAGAATAAACGAAAAGCATATGACTCCCTGATACGTTATCAACGTGCACATCACCTCGCGAGATTAATGAAAAGAAGAATTTATCTACGCCGCAAAGCTGCGTGGGAACGAGAAGATCCAGAAGAAACGTTCAGCATAGACTCTGCAAATAGCGTATGTGGATCGGGCGTGGAAGACCCATCTGTAGATTCGTCACGATCCAACTAATCAAACGCGAACGCTTAGAATAAATCTTGTTGTTCAAATCCCTTGATTGTATCAATTATTGTAATCCTTTGCAATTTCTATCATGAACTCAACTACCACAATAAAGAATCCTAATAAAGGAATTTCTGTTAATTGTAGAATGAGTCAAGAAACCGCACACGGACAAGGCAACAATGAACACGTAAGTGTTCACACTGAAGCATCTAGCTTCACCCCTCCTATCCAAAACGAGCCTATCAACCAAGAGAATGTTTCTCAGAACAATGCGAATGCTGGTGGTCAACCTAACTACGCAATTCCTATTTTCTTGGCAAACTTGCTTCAACAAGTGGCCAATGCTCCAATGTTTCAACCACCACCACCACCACCGCGTGTGATCACTTTCAAATTTCTGAAAGATAATGGAGCAGAAGAATTTCTGGGCGATCGAATTGCCGAACCTCAAATTGCTTGGAATTGGATTGAACAAACCGCCCGAGTGTTGAGAAAGAGTATATCCCAAAGCCATGGACGTGGGAGTTCTTTGACTGGGCTTTCAAGAAAGAGTATATCCC